CCGGAGACTCTGGAAACATTCCAGCTGTATCCTAACCCCAACCCTACCAGGGAGCTGTGATTGTCCCCTCTTATAGATATGAAAGCTGAAGATTGGAAAGTTAGGCAGCTTCTCTAAGGTAGCCAGTTAGTAAGGGGCTGAGGAGCTGTGAACGACTCTGTCTTCCTCCAACAGCCTTGCATCGGGAAGAATACTGCTATAAAAGCAAACCCAGAAGGCTCTCAGGGGATGGCTCTGTTGTCTAGGTTTTATCTGCTAAGAAAACTGTATTGGAAAACTTTTTTCTTTTTCTTAATTTATACAGTTGTAGTCATCCTCTAATCTTATTCTTAAGCTTGAAAACATGATGTCACCTTGGTAATTTTAGAAGGGGATGAAAAGAGAAGGAAGAAACAGAGACTGAGTGGGAAGATGGTTATGGGAGGGAGAGAGGGAAGTCATTCAATGTGGTTTTCAGGGCAGGCCAGGGCTTCCTCAGCAAGAGGCCAACTGTCCCTCTCTGTTCCCTCAACTTTTCAACCCAAATGCCCTTTATGATTTAACCTAGGTCTACACAAAGACTCTAAGCATCTGGGAACAATTTAATACTCTTAATATGCAGCATTAATTGAACGTAATACCTTTACAACCATTACTCCAAGTGGGGGAAAAAAAGATCTTTTTAAATAAATGTTCAGCGAAAACAAGCAAGGTGTCAACCAAGATAGATCCAGAATGACATGTTTCATTAGTTCTCTGTGTCACCTGTCAGGGCTGTCATTTAGTGATGTGCAATCGAAATGGAAATTCTAGGCTTTCTACCAACAAGGAAGATGATCTATAAAGGTGAGATCAATTCAGACTCCTTCAGTACACAGTGAGGATGTCCCTCCCAAAGAGTCCTTCTTGAGGAAGACCACACAAGTTAACCAAATTCACCACAGGCTATCTGTCTGCACCTACTTCCCAGGGTGCGAGGTAGTGGCTGGAGAGGCACAGCCATAGGCTACCCATGGCATGTTACCAGCAGCACCAAATGAACCTCCTAATTTGGGAACAAAGCACTACAGATCTTTATACTACCTGTGTATGAGACTGGGTTATCAAACAATCCTGCCACCAAGACAACAAAAGAGACACTTCTCAGATACTGAGTCTGATGATGTGTGCTATCAGTTACACTCAAGGCAACAGGATGTTCTAAATTCAGTAGATTCCATAGAAGCGATCACCTCCTAATCCACAAGAGAATGGAAACTTTGGGTTGATGTACTTTGTTTCTCTTGTGGCAATTTACAACATTATTAATGGTGAAATACAATACAATACGGTACGCAAAGAAAGATACACAATGTATCACAGTAAAATATTATCTCAAAAATGTTTAACTTGCAGCAGCCCACTGTGGTTCGCCCAGCAGCAGGAGGGAGGAAAGCAGTCTCTCTCCTCAGTCATTTGGATATTTTAGTAGGCAAAGAATTCCATGTTAGAAAAGGAAAATAGGCAGGTTGGAACCTCAGTGTCAGGAACACAGACCGAGAGCCCAGAAACAGACGCCACTCTGAAGAGACATGAGCAGGCAGCTCACTCCACGGGGAAAATCCACTGCAAAACAGCAAGGAACCTAACACCCACCAAGCACCAGACTGTGGGAGTGTGCACTTGACCTCAGCCCTCATTGTGAGTTAATTAGGGAAGTAAATTTGTTGTCCTTGTTATTCTGCAGGTGAGAAAACTGAGGTTATGTATATAACCACTAAGGAGCAGAATTCAGAGCCCTGGTCTTGAACTTCATCAGTCCAGCTCCTGGCAGTGTCCACTGACATGTGGTCACCCAACCTCCCTCAGGTAGCTGCTGAATTTGATCTTCAGGTGCAGCACCTGCTCCCAGTACATTCATCCTCTGACCGCAGTAGGACTTTCCTCTGACCTCTGCTCAGGTCCATTTGCATGGCTCCCTTGTGATGAGTGGGTTCACCAAAAACAAGTACAGTACTGAGTCTCCTCCCCAAGGAAAAGAAGCGTTCCCATCATTTGTGTTAAACCGATAGGAACAAGCTTGCTGGAGATGTGGGGCCTTTGGGGTCCCCTGGAAAAGCATGGCTTCTGGATCAGTTGTCCAATCTTGGGTGTCCAAGATGGTAGCTACTTGCTACATTTGTCTGTTAACTGCTAGGAGTGTGGCTGGTCCAAATTGAGATGTGCTTCAAATATAACACACACATATCAGATTTTAAAGACTTAGCATGAGAAATAAGACTGCAGCATATCACTTTCATAATTTTATATCTATTTCATGTTGAAATGGTAATATTTTCATAAACCATGTCCAATAAAGTATATCATTAATTTTCCTTATTTCTGAATAAGTTTTTAATTCGGCTTAGAAAATTTAAGATTACCTTTCTGAGAAAAAAAAAAAAGATTACCTTTGTGGCTTCTGTCACATTCCTATTGTGCAGAGCTGGTCTGTGACCTTCCGGAGAACTTTGATTGCCCCTAAGCATGGATGGAATCATAGGCCTGTTTGCTCAGGTGTTACCTCTCCTGTAATTCTCCTCAAGGGAGAGGAGCAAAGGTCGCCCACCTGGCAAGCTGTCAGGAAGAGTTCCCGTCAAAATTCCTCCTGGAGGGCCTCAACCAGAGGGTAGATGGGGCAGAAGGCCTTGTCCCCAAGAACCACACCCAGGGAAGCCTTACCCTCTTCCATCCCGGTGTCCTTCAAGGACAGGAAAAAGCAGCTTCTGGAGCCGAATGATCTATGTAGAACACAAACCGTGTATGCTAAGGCCACTTAGGTAATTTTAAACACTTAGAGGGTCCCATTAAAAGTGCAAAAAAGAAATAAGTGAAATTAATTTCAATAAGGCATTTTAACCCAATATATCCAAATTATGATCATTTCATATTTAATCAGTATAAAATGATGAATGATGTATTCCTGTCTAACTCTTGAAACATCTGGTCTGTATTTTACACATCCCAATATACATGTGGCCAGCAACAGCTGTATTGGACCGTTTGGCTCCAGAGCATGTAAAGACTCCAAATTAAGATGTGTTGTGTACATGTAGCAACCCACCACAATGACTGCCATCATTATGTACTGGAAACATGTACTAATAAATGTAAAAATTAATAAAAATTAATTTAAAAAAGTCTCTGTAGGAGTAAAGCAAACATGATCGCTATCTGAACCTATTAAGTCCATAGCTAGTTACACAATGTTGGCCACTATACTCTGTAAAGAGTTTTGATGGCAGGGAGAAAAAATGACTATAAATATTTCAACAGAAAAAAAAAAACAGTGGGTAAAATGACACTAAGATACTAAATAACAGTCATTGTTAGGTGGTGTGATTGTGTATTTTTTTCTCCTTTTTCATGCTTTTCTATCCTTTACAAAGTGCCAGAAAATGATAATTTCTGGGCCAGGGATTTAGCTTAGTGGTTCTGCTGCCTGCCTCTCAAGTGCAAGGTCCCAAGTTCAATTCCCGGTACCAAGAAAAAAAAAATGACAATTTCTAATGCAATTTGGGAAATTATTTGAAAATTTAAAGTGATTGAAACAATGAGCTTTAATGTGTTTACTGGGCTACTCTATGTCTGGCCCAGAGTTTCCCAAGAAGGTGATAAAACGCCCACAGAGGTTGGAAAAGAAGGAGCTGATGTAGTCATTTGTGGGGTGGGGGAGGTTCCCCTAGCCAAGCAGATACTTTTCCTATGCCGTAACTGGGAATGTAAAAAATACATATCAGCAAGGGCTGCAGGAAATAGCTCACTAAGGCAGTGGCAGAAATGAGTGTGCAATGCAGATTAGCTTGCATCTGTCTCGGCGGCACAGGCTGCATCTGTGCTGGCCCAGTCCTGAGAGTCACTATTGTGGGGCAGGAAAGGGAGCTGGGAGTTGAGGGAAGTGTTCAGACTCGAAAAACAGGTGACCATGCATTCTTCCAGCATGTGCAAAATGGGAGGCAAATCATTTATAAAACGCCCACAGCTGTTGGTAGGAGACACAGGTACTAATTTAGAGTCTGACAGAGAGGGAGAGGAGAGGGAGAGAGAGAGAGAAAGAGAGAGAAAGAAAGAGACCAAAGGCTGGGGATACTGCAAGGCTTATTCAGTGTCCAAGTCTGCAATGTCTGTCCCCTTATTCACAAAAGGATGAAATTTAAACAGCAGCTTTGGTGTGCCCATGGATGGTGCTGCACTTAGGAAAGACCACGTGCCCCTTTCTGCCCTGCAGCTGTGAAGGGCTGGGTGTTGCAGTTATATCTGTCACCCCTGTTCCTAATCTTGAGATCTCTGTGGTTGCAGAGATGGTGATGAGCCATTCCTGCTTCAGAGATTAAACCCCATTTGCCTCTAAAGGCAAACAGCTAGATGAGTGAGTACCCAGGACTGAAGGCATGGGACGGGGCAAGGTGTGCTGTCTAGGGCTTCAGGTTGTCTTTGGGGGTAGGGTGGCTGTGTTCTGAAATTGATTGTGGCCATGGCTGCATAACCCTAAGTACACTAAAGTCATTGAATTAGACACTTTTGTTTTTGTTTTTGTTTCTGTGGTGCTGGGGCTTTGTGCATGCAAAGCAAGAGCTCTGCCACTGAGCCACATCCCCAGCCCAAATTATACACTATAAGTGAGTCAATTATATGGTAAGAGAATTGTATCTCAATAAAGCTGTTTTGTTTTGTTTTTTAAGATAATAAAGTTAGGTATGAAAGCAACTCAGTACTTTTTACAATGGCACTTTGAGTCCTGTCAGATACTACTGTGCATGTGTATAGGATGGGAAATGGCTACCCACCTCTTTCTTATTTAATAGATCATGTTTTGGGCTGGGGATTTAGCTCAGTGGTTCTGGCGCCTGCCTCGAAAGAGCAAGGTCCCAAGTTCGATCCCCAGTACCAAAAAAGAAAAAGAGAAGGATTGTGTTTAAAGACTACCCTTCTCTGTAAAACATTCAATGTCTGTGTCTAAGGACCATACCCCAGTCTTCCAGAGCCTGGAGAAGTTCACTGACCTTTCTAGTCTTCCTGCACTTCTGGCCTCATCTGAAGAAGTGTCTCTCAGAGCATTCTCAGGAATCAAAGGTGAGGTGGCTGGGACAGGCCCAGGGCTCCTCCTGGAACAGTGAAAGAAAGCAATTGACAGCATAGTGTGGATGGTTAAAGGTCATCTCTCCACCTCCTATTGAAAAGGCACATTTCCCAGTGACAGCTTTAAGTAGCTACTACACCAAAATCGCTGGAGTGGAGGGATGAGTTTCAGACAGCCAATGGCTTGGAGGTGCCTTTGAATCATTTAGGTCCCTCTGCCTAAACAAATCCAGACTTTAAAGCAAATGTATCTGCACTCCAGAAAAACATACCACTGACTTCAACCTATTACCCAATCATGCTCAGCCAGCCAGTAAACACTTCAGTTGTTTAAATTTAGATGAATTAAAGAATACAAGAAAAAGAACAAGGTATGTTAGAACAGTCTCCACTCTCTACACTTCTCAGAATCTCAGCACCTCCAGAGGGGATAAGTGGATATATTTAACCCACTAGATATGGAAAACTACCCATCTCTTGGACTTTAAAAAAAAAATCAGGCTGAGAATCACCTTTGAAGCTGAGCCCATGGGGATTTATTCTAAGTACCTGTCACCGTGGAGCTCTTCTGGAGCCAAGTGCTGCAGCTTAGGGTCTCCAGTTTTGTCCAGTTCTGAAGAGACACACTCCTTCATGTGCCCAGCAGGAGCAGGGAGCTCGGGCTTCAGCTGCTCCTTTGTCTCCTGGTGCCCAGCTAGGCTGTCCTCTCTAAGGGTGACTTCGTCCTCCATCATCTGAGCCCTGTCAGAGCATTCTGGGTCCTGATAGCTTCCCGGCAGCTCTGAGTCATGAGCCACGCCAGAGAACATCCTTGTAGTACCTGTTTCAGGCAAGTCACCAGATCCACATGCCCACCTCTTAGCTGTGTGCGATGTGATGTCACACTCAGCTTCCCCAGCAGCTCCTGACACTTTGCTGGGCTCTAGGGAGATGTCTGTCACTTCTCCAGCCTGTGGCTTAGGGGTGCTCTTGTGCCCTGAGGCATTTTGCATTTCCAAGATGGTGGCGGTAGCCTCAGGGCTCCTCCCACCCCCAAGTGTTCGAGGGGTCCCAGGCTCACTGTTGTTAGCCTTAGGCATCATTAACATATCCCCACCGGGAGAAGAGGCTTCAAGGGCACAGGTGGATCCCAGCACATCATCTGGACCCCCTGTGTGAGCAAAGTCCTGGGGACTAGCTTTTCTGTGTTGGTCTTCACAGGCTGATGTTCCCGGGCGCTGTTCTCTAGAAGGAATTCTGTCATGTTGAACCAAGGCCTCTCTTCCACCGCTCTGGGGAGCCACCTTGGGGTCAGTGATTCCTTCTATAGGCATCCCCTGATCGGCCAGCAAGGGTGAGGGAAGACCTGCAGCTAATTCTTGCCCACTCTCCACAGGCTGTGAGTGAGCCTGGGTCCCCAGGCCTAGGCAGGCCTCCTCACACCCCTCTGTCCTCTCACTTCTCACTATTGATGGGACACCAGTCATCTCCTCCTCAACATTGGCATCTGGCAGGTTTTGCTCCAAGGCTGGTCCTGCCCAAGCCAGCAGTTTGCCTGGAGCTGGATCCTGGGAAACCAGAGGGGAAATCTCAGCCTCAACAGCCCATTCTTGTTTCTTCTCCAAGAGTATAGCAGGAGGTACAGGGAGAAGGGTAGGAGGTACAGGGAGAAGGGTAGGGGCCACTCCTTGAGTCCCATCTAGATGGTTTTCTGGATTTAGTGGTCGTATGGCAGGGTCCTTGCCCACCACATTTTTCCCAGCTCCTGCCTTTTCACCAGGTGCTCTCTGGGGCCCATCAGTGGCCAGTGCTCCAAACACAGACTGGTCAAAGATCTTGGTGATGTGCTCCCTGAAGTCAGGGAACCCAGTGATCATGCCGATCTGCTTGGAGCTTGCACCCACACCACACGATACGTCCCTCTTTGGATCTGGGGAAGGACCTCCCATCTTCTCCCCACTACCTACTGTCTCTCTTTCTGTATTGGCCACCATGCCATCCTCACTAGGAGGGCACACTGGAATCTTACACGGTCTGGCACCTGGGTCTGGAGCTGTGGCCACTACATCCTCCCCTGCTGTCTGCTTACCCATGGCCAAGAGAGGCATCCTGTCCAGGTAGGGCACTGAGGCCACAGGTCCCTCAGTGATTCCAGCTTTGGGGCTTTCACTGATGAGCTGCACTGCAGGGATTTCCCCACTTGCAGCTCCTGAATGCAAGGGCAAGGTGAGGGAGCCAGCAGGCAGCTTCGCGGAGCCAGCAGGCAGCTTCGCAGAGGCAGCATTTCCAAGGGCAAGCAAGGGCTCCTCTGTGGGGCAGGAGCTTTCACCAGGAGCCTGGGAGCCCTTGGAGGAAATAGCTTTCACTATACTGTCTTTTGCTCCTTTCCCAGCAGCACCATCAATGTGCAGGTAGGGGGTGTCAGGATCAGCCTCTGCATGTGGCCCGGACAGCAGAAGCCTCTTTCGGTCAGGGATAGCCTGGCAGGCAGAAATACCCACAGTGCTTCTGGGGGTCCCACCCAGTTCTCTGACTGATAGCAAGGTCCCCTGGCAGCTGGACACAAGCCGCTCAGCTTGGCAAGGCTCACCCAGGGCCAAGGTAGAAGCTTCTTTCCCGGCCACAAAGCAGTGCTCGGTATCTAAGAAGACCACGCTCCGAGCAGCTTCTGGTTCTCTGGGAGCCTGCAGCATCCTGGGGCCTCCTTCACTGTCATTTCCACCACTCTCAGCAGCTCCACCTTCACTATCTTGCTCCCCAGCTGATGGGAAACTTCCAAGAAGCTTTGGGGCCTCTGCATCCATGGTGGCTGGGCACTGCATTCCCTGCTGCTGGGCTGGCACTGGTTCCTGCCTGTCTTCCTGGCGTTTATCATATGCCTGTTTCTCTGGGGCATCCTGGGTGGGTGTGATTCTGGCACTGGCAGGCGCTGGGGCCAGCAGGCAGTGAGCTGCATCCAGGAGAGCTACTGAGTCATGTGGACAAGGCGGGGCCTCCACTGTGTTTCTACTTGCCCTCTCTGTCTTACCCAAGCCCTGGGGCAGGGGCCAGGTGTCATCTGCTTCAGAAACTCCTGCACCCTTGCAACAGGCTTCTTCATGTTGGCTGCCTGACTTCAAAGCACCAACCAGCGCTTGTTGGGACTTGCTTGGTCCCCGGCCAGCACTGCAACTTTCCTTTCTACTGAAGTCCTCTGCAAGAGAAGAAGCTTTTAAGGTGTCTGCTGCAGGAGGCTGACCACCACAGCCTACTCCCTTTTGCTCATTCTCCCCTAGCACAGGCAACTTCTGTCCTATTGGGGTTGATGATTCTGACTCCACTGGTGGAGAACTCTCCCGAACCGTGTCCTTGGGAGTTGAACTTGGAGCATCAGACCGACTGCCTTTGGGGAGCTGACTTTGAAGCTCTGATGCAGAAACCTGTTCCCATCCACCATGAGTGGGTAAGCTCACATCCACGGAAGACTCTGAACCCCGGTTCTTAAACCCTCCATCACTTGAGTAAGCCTCTTTCCCATTTGCAGGTGGTGCGGTCTTCTCCCTGAGAATATCAAAGATGGATGCTTCTGAGTCCAATTGGGATGGCTGGAGACAGTTTTCAGAAGGTAGTGGGGGACACTCTGATGCAGCTCCTCTTGTCCAGCTGTCCTCTGGGCGGGATGGGTTTCCCTGACACGCTTGCAGCAGGTTGGGAGTGGTGAGCCCACAGTCCTCTGCTTCGTCCTCTCCATCAGGGCTGTGTGGCACACCAGCATGAACTTCCTGTCCAGCTGCATCTTGCCCTGGCCCACCAGGTTGGCCTGGGGATGCCAACAAGCCCTCAGTGTCACAGCTGCTGGGCTTCTGTGGGGATGGGCAGTCTGCCATCCTTATTTCCAAAGTGTGCTCCACCTCCTGGGCTTTGGTTACAACCTCTGCAGCAAAACTTGACAGGAAATCTGATTTTTCAGATTTGAAAGCAGACGGAGACTCTGTTTTTCCCAGTCCTTCCCTATCCTGAAGCATGTCCAGGCATTTGGTCAGTAATCCTGGCTTCTCCCAGACAGCTTCTTTGGGAACAGAATGCTCACCTGTACCATCTGGGGCTGGTGTCTGGATGGGGTCCTCCTCATGGGGTTTGTGGGCTGAGATAGCTGTATCAGCCATGTGGGTTTCAGCCACCACCTGCCATGCTGCTTCGGCTAACCCAGAGTCAGACCTGTCCGTGTGTCCAGTGTCTCCCTTTCTGGGTGGCTGTGCTGAATCTGAGTTGGAAAAGATTGTGTTCTCTGAATCATCACTTGGCTTTGAGACCTCATCTTTGTCTACCTTTGTATAGGGCTTGCAGTGGAAGGTTTGAGACTCTTCTCCCCACAGGTTTCCAGGATCCACAGTGCCAGGTTGCTCTGTGGCTTGTTCCTCCTGGGCTTTGATTGGTCCTGCAGGGTTGTCTCCATGGCATCTGTTTTTCTCTTTAGCCACATTTGGACTTCCAGTATCCTCGGGGGCCTTAGTTCCCTCCTTTGGCCCCACTGAGCTCCCGGTACCTTTGCTTGAAGCCCCAGGAGGAGGAGGAGAGGACAGCATCACGCCTCGTGTGACTGCATGGCTTTGCTCCCAGTTCCAGAGCTCTACCCTCTCCTGGGGTGAAGAGGCAGAAACCTCTCCTGGGCTTGCTTCTGAATGCTCTTGCTCTCTTCCAAAATTGGACGACCAATTTTCCAGTCCTGCTGACCTTGCATCCTCCAGCTCTTTGACCACATCTGCAGAAACTGGCACTTCAGCTTTGGAAGCCATCTCCCTGGCCAGTGAACTGGGTCCTTCTGTTCCAGCAGGAATCCCAGGGGCTGGATGTGCTGTGGGGCTTGAAGCTGGATGTGTTTCTTCAGTCTGGGTAAGTGGAACGGGCTCAGGGCTGTCAAGTGAACTCCCATATACCTGGATGCCTGTTGCCACATGGGCAACTTGATGGGTCTCTACACCTTTCATCCCTGTCTGCAAGTGACTACGAGCATCACTGGCACCCAGAGTTTCCTTCCCTGGCACCAGGGCAGGACTCAGTGGGTCCCAGGGCAGCTCTACGTGGAGAAGATGTGCTCCCATCTGCTGTTGGCAGCTCTCCTGGGAAGCAGCAGCTTCAGCTTCATGGGCAGCTCCTGAATTGCTCCCAGGGGAATGGCAGGAGCTAAGGAATTCCAAGTCATTGGCTAAATGCTGAGGTGGCATCTCCACTTGGCCCTTTTCTCTGTCCAAGGCTCTTGGAGCTGAACCTTGTGGGACCATGGTCTCGGGTTTTAGGGGACATTCCACTAGGCCAGCTGAGCTCTCCTTGTCTGGAAGGGCAGAAGCAGAGGCCTTGGGGACTGTCTGTCCAGAAGCCACATCCAGCCTAGATTCTGAAGGGGAACAGCGACTTATACTCTCTTTCTCTTGAGACTCTTTGCAACCCTCTGCACATAGCAGCTCCTTCCTTGGCTCTCCTGGAGGTGCTGGTGAAATTCCTGGCGACTGGTGAGTGCAACTGTAGGAGGAAGAAATTTGTCCCTCTGCCTTCATCTCTTTGTCTCCCCCAGCACTAGAGACTTTGGCAGCCATACTGTCCCCTTCAGAGGTAAATGCCACAGTTTCCCCTGGGGCACTTGGGGAAGGCTCCCTCCTTGGGTGCTTGGTGAGAACATCTTCAGGTTCTGCTGCTGGGCTTGCCAAGCAACCTTCTGGAGTGTACTCGGTGAAGGGCATGGAGGTCAAGGGCCACTCCTGCTCCCAGGCCGGTTTTGGGCTGGACAGTGGAGTTCCTTCTGGACCTGTGGCTTCCTGTGGGTGCTTTCTTGGCTCAGTCACCTCTGGGGACACGATGCACAGGTCTGGGCTGGCAGCACTCTCAGAAGTGGAGCAGGAGCCTCCAAGCCCAGCACTGCCAACAGGAAAATATGTAATGGTTCATTGGTTCTTATGCATGCCAAGGACAGAGCCATACTGCAGGCAGAAGCATCCCAGTCCTCCCCCTATTAAAAGGCCTCCCAGAGCCTGGATCACAAACACCCCAACACCCATGCAGTTCTCTGTGAGGAGACCCCTGGCTCCTCCTTCCCCAAACCATAACACATGCCCTCATTTTCTCCAGAAATCAATGTGAGGATCCACGAATACTCAGTCTTCGGTTTTCCATGCTGGTGATCTGGGAATAGGGAATATGGAAATTCATTCATAATAGTCTAAAATGCAGGAAACTCGGGAAGTTTTTAATAAGAGGAAACCATACAAGAGGGATGTTAAACCAGTTCTGTACAGATCACAAAGAGGTCCTGTGCACTCCTGGGATGTTTAGGGGGAAAGCACAAGTTGGCAAGCTGTGCTTTGAAGAGAGAGCTATCCTTGAATATAGTTAACTCGATTCTTCACATTTAGCAGGTGCTGTAGTGAAAGGCACAGTCTGACAGCCATTTGTACTTAGTGTGGAATTTCTGCATACATATATATCTCCATCCCTTGGCAGCTGAAATACCTTCATACCCATATTTGTTCTAACTTGAACACACTTAGGTGAGCAATGTGTATGAAAAGAAAACAAACAAACAAGGCCGGGGATTTAGCTCAGTGGTTCTGGTGCCTGCCTCGCAAGCACAAGGTCCTGAGTTTGATCCCGGTACCAAAACAAACAAACGAACAAAAAAGAAAACTAGGATAAGTAGAGAAATTTGGCTTAGAACTATAGAGTTGCTATAAAAAAACCAACTCTCTGGTTATTGTAAAATAGCTTATCACATGCCATATTGGATTGTGTTGCCCAATTCTGTATAGTTTTAATTTAATGTAGTTAAAAATAATGTATGGCTGCCAGGGATTTAGCTCAGTGGTTCTACCGCCTGCCTCACAAGCACAACGTCCTGAGTTCGATCCCTGGTACCAAATACTACTACTATTACTACTACTACTACTACTACTACTACTACTAATAATAATAATGTACGACTAATACCAAATATGAAGGCTGGGGATATAGCTCAGTGGCACTGTGCCTGGTTGGCAAGCGCAAGGTCCTGAGTTCAATTCCCAGTATGGCAAAAAAAAAAAAAAGAAAGAAAGAAAAAGAAAAACATCAAATTTGGAAATTAGGAAAGAACAAGAAAAGATATCCCCCATGCACCTTCCACTTTCAATATTCTAGTGATTTTTCTTTTTAAAAAATACAATTTTTCAAGGTATAATTTTTGTTATTTTTACACAGCTGTGATCTAAGAAACTGCTCTAGGCAAAGTTAACAGAAGTGTGGTTTGGTAAGGCTTTTATCATTTTCTTTAAAGTCATAATAGGGAGTTCATGGTATCTTTTTTTTTTTTGGTACCAGGGATCAAACTCAGGACCTTGTGCTTTCAAGGCAGGCGGCAGAACCACTGAACTAAATCCCCGGCCCTCATGGTATCTTTTCATAACTGTTCCACACATAGTCACATGTGTGTAGTCTCACAGAGTTCCGGATGTGGCCAGTGGAAAGACTCTATTCTCCATGTCCACCATCAGATTCCAGCTTTCCTCACAAGGAAAACACACGCATCATGGGTGAGGGAGGCAGACAGTGGGGAGGTGAATTGCATTCTTGTCAACACTTCAGAACGTGTGTTATGGACTGAACTCTTTGCCTCGCCCCATCCCTGTGCTGACACTCTAGCCCCCAGTGTGACTGTATTTGAAGCGAGGGCATGTAAGAGTAAAATGGGAGACCTTGGGGACTGGTGCCCTTGTGAGAGGAGAAAGAGGTAGCAGAACTGTGTGTCCACAGAGGAAGGCCATGTGAGCACACAGTGAGGAGGTGCCACCCGCAAGCCACCGAGAGAGGCCAACCCAGCTGGCACCTTGACCTGGACTGTGAGCCTCCAGTGACAAAATACCTGTCTATTATTTATGCCACGCAGACTGCGGTATTATGTTATGAAAGCCTGAGAAGATTAATAAAATTGACACATGGGCATTTATTGTCTCGTCTTTTCAATATTTTTGAAATTTCAAAATTACCAAAAAAACAGTTGAAATAATAATGTAGGAAAGCAATGTCGGTATTTGTCGAGAGTCATCTCATTAAAGCCTGCTGACAGCTGGGCTCAATGCGTATTCCTGTTGCCATCTGCAGATGAGAACATGGGACACAGAGAGGCACAGCTTGGAGATCAACTCGGGCATCTTGCTAGTCACTCTGCCATGTTTCCTCCAAGAATAAGAATGTCCAAGGCAGGTGGCTCCCTATGTGGGCCCATTCCAGCCTCTCTTCCAAGTTCATCACCTCCAAATATGAGGTCATTTGACCTCCTTTAAGGAGGGTGCTTATATCACATTGGAGATGAGACAAACAAAGCCATTTCCTGTCCATGCCTCTGACAGGAATTGCCAGTACAGTCCAGGAGAGAGTCCAGGGCTTCCCTTCAGGCTGACTGAAGTCATAACCATCTGGGACAGGATGAGAAATTCGCTCTATTTCAGCACTTTGAAACTCTGTGCATTCTTATCACAGAGCAACGAGATGAATTTTCCACTGAATATGAGATACGTAGCAATACCCCCTAAATAAGAGCCTAGACATTGGATGGTTTATTTAGCATAAACTGAGCACCAGCCAGCTCTTTGATTAGCCACCAGAAGCAATTTCTAAAGCCAGATTAAAGCTGCTCACCAGGAGAAGATTTGCCTAAGGGCAGGAAAAATTATAAGAACTGGTCTGTTGAGAGCTGTGCATTAATCAAGCTTACATAATGTCCTTTTATGCTTTGAGCCTGAGTCAAAATGTGTGGGATAAAGCCACAAACAGAATCCACAAGGGGTTGCTCCAGTGGGGCGTGGGCTGGCTGGTTCCAAGTGGGCTCAGTGGAAGCCTTTCAGCCCTGGGGTGCCGCCTCATTATCAGGTCAGGGAGGGCACAGGGACTGTAGTTTCCTGGTGCAAACCCCCAGGAACTAACAGCCTGGGGGTGTTGGCCCAGGAGGAGGGGCAATTTCCTGAGCAGACCCTGGAGACACTGAAAAGGCCCTCTCCACTGCCCCAGTGAAGATAAGGACAGCCAGATGGACTCCCAAATGCTAGTTCTGAAAACACAATAGAGTTGGGGTGAGAGAGCAGAATTAAAGGGAAGGAGGCTGGGTGTGTAGAGCACAAACATGGCTCTAACGGTGGGCTTTAAAGAGACCAGCAGAACTGTAAGAATCATAAAGGTGAAGTGTTGTCATGTTCTGAGCACCTACTAAGGCCGTCCCCATGCTAAACACTTTCAGTTATGATTGCCTTTAATCTGCACAGCAACCTGGCAGGCAGGATGACCCCGGGCACACATGAAGAACTATTTGAGGAGAGGTTCAAGATCAGACTGGAGAGGAAGGGCTGTTGATGCAAAGCAAGATCAAGACCTGTGGTGTTTCCTGGCTCCAGAACCCCTTTCTGAGCTTGTTGCCTCTACCAGGCTCTTACCTGGACAGGTACAGCTGCCCCTTCTCCCTTCCTTCTGTTCTCTGGGTTACAGGCAGATCAATGGCTTAGAAATAAAAGTCTCCTTGGGCCAGGGATTTTAGCTCAGTGGTTCCGAAGCCTGCCTTGCAAGAGCAAGGACCCGAGTTCAATCCCCGGTACCAAAAAAAAAAAGAAGAAGAAGAAATAAAAGTTTACTCCTGTCAACTCCTCCATGGAAAAACTCTGGTGGCTTCATTTTGCTGTTAGCTGTGGACCAGCCTGCCTTTTCTGCCTCATCCCACATGGAACTCACCAGCTCTGCATCAGCGTGGAGCCTGGAGCCCCCTGGTCCCCAGAGCTTAGCCCCAGTTGTCACTTCTCAGTGAAGCCCCTTCTTGGCCTTGATTCTCAAATCAGAACTCCTTTCATAGGGCCCCCTAACACCAGCCACAGTGGCCATCAATATGACCATTTCCTTTCCTGGAGGCTGGGTCCTTGTCTGCTTTCAATATTGTATCTGCAGTGCTTGGCATACAATATACAGTCAATAAGTGCTAAATATATTAATGTATGAATGAATGAACAGACGGATGGAAGGAAGGAAGGAAGGAAGGGTGGGTGCATGGGTCAGTGGTTAGATGGATAGAAGAAAGGAAGGATGGAAACAACTGAAAGCAAATCCAGGACATTAAATATACAGCAATGGTCTCACATCATGATTGTTTTACAGATGACTAGGAAAGTTCTATTCTTCCACATGATCATAGCACTTCCGTCATCTATTAGTCCGAGCCTTTTATTTTACAGATGAGAAAACTGAGGCCCAGAAGAAAAGACAAAGTACTTTCTTAAATTAACAAATGTGGTTGAGGCAACACTTCTTACCCATAGCCCCCATGCTCACAAGTAGGTCTAATAAGTTAGGGGTAGCAAGTAATTTGTTACTAATTATACAGTACAGATGTCCATGAATGACTTATTATTTTCATAAATTACTCTAATTCAAAAGATTAGATTTCCCCCAAATAACATCATCAGTTATTCATTGCATTCCAATGCACTTGCCAGAAAAGGAGAGCCAGCGGCAGATTGGCACCAGTGAGTTAGACTGAAGTTTGGGAACAACCAACCTTGCACCTGTCAGCCTTGGAGGTAGTCGGGGTGGAAATGAGGGGCTTTCCCCGCTCCCATATTCCTTCCTTGGCCCTCAAAGTGGCCTGACACTTCTTACCAGCAAAGTGTTGTCTTTCTCCCCTATAGTCTGGCTCTTCATGACTACCCTGGAGGAGGCGGGAAGACTTCTCTGATTGGTGAGATGGGGAGAGAAGCCCCCGTGGGTCCAGTTTCCCCATGGGTGGGGTTAAGGTGTTCAGAATCCCTGAGATGAGGCTGCCCACCATGCAGCTGTCTTCTGTGTGACAAGCATGCTAGTCCGGCCCCCATCCTGCACCTCTGCAGTCCACCCTGTGTGGGGAAGGCTAA